AGTACGATCAACTTGGATAATCGGGTAAATTTATTCCTACCACCGCGCCCCCGGGTCCAACGCAGCACACCGGATAGGTTTCATTTGCTGTTCCTAGCCTTGCATGCTCTTACCGCCGCACAGCACGAACCCGTATCGTACAAGCACAGCACAACTGTGCTATCGTGTTACGCGTGTAAAGTTAAGGAAGTCACCGCAATTTTCAGTCACACAGTCACGGCGTCCGCAAGGTCCTCACACCCCAAGAAACCATACCTATCTATAAGGAGAACAGCCAAAGCACTTTTTTTTAGGACAGCTGTAGGCATATCGCAATCGTTCCACAGAACACAAGAGGGAAGGAGGGCTTTCCGAGCCGCTATGATACATGGGGGGGGGAGGGGTACGGGAGCATCACGGACGAGGCTGTAGCAGTACCGTAGTCTGTAGTACGGCAATCCAGCTGGCGCTGTACTCCCGGTATCTCGGCCAATAGTTACCGACCCTCTCGTACAGTAAGTAGCCTTTGCTATCCATACATTCATTAAGTTAGTTCCATGTGGTAACCCGACCAATTTACAGACAGCTTTGCCTAGCTCCTTTATCTGTAAGCAAAACCATATTAGCTACTCCGTAGAAAGTGGGGTATTGGTTGCATTGGGGACGCATTGAGAGTGACCAATATATAACCCCTAGCAGCACTGTACAGTACAGTACCGTACAACCACGAACCGTTGTAGCCAAGGGAGTAATGCAGTACTCGGTAGTAAAATATTAGCAATGGGCACAAGGCAATAATATATACACGAGCGCTTACAGGCTGTGCAAACATAAAACCCGTCTACTGACTAGAGCCACTTCTCCTCTCACCGCGGGTCCCTCCCTTCAATCTCCTTCCTGTCCTTCAAGATTTCTTCGTCAACATCCCATCTCATCCCACAAATGCTTCATGGGTAAGGTAGATCTTTCGTCTCCCAGAAAATAGATTCCCAATCTCCTTGATGCTTGTTGGGACCCCACCATCACCTTCTGCACGAAACAATGTGTTACCAACCAATAGTTTCTGGCAGACCTCTCGCCCACATCACGAGAGGAGGAAGGGGAGCACAAGAAGGGAAAGTTATGGTTTTTCGTTTATAATTGTATTTCCTCCCTTCTTCCCCCCCCCCCCCCCCCCCAACTCACCCGGTCATCAACCAAAGCCACCAA